TTGCTTGAATCTTGAATAAAATCTTTATCAAACCATATCTTGAGCTTGCTTGAATCTTGAATGTTGTTGACTTGAATCATCATCAAAATCATTTCTTGGGAATGTAGGAACATGTTTCACATTGTCATCAATCTCCCCCTCATTGCTTTCAAATTGATGTGGAGATTTGGGGTTGAGTAGGTTTATGCTTATTATGGATGAATAGGAGAATTGAATGGACTATGAATGTATATGAATGCTGAGATTTTTGTAAACAATCAAAGGAATAAACAAGTAGTTTATGATTGTGGATATAGAAACATGAATGATGCTTGGTATTTTATGCTTGTGGCTTCTGAGTGAATAAAAACTTACATAACTCAGTGTCATATGAGAATACACTTGTATTATCGTAGCGGATATTGTGCTTTCATGAGGTATAAATTTTTTTATCTACTCCTAGTCCATTGTATTGTATGTTTGTTCTAACTTTGTGTGAGGCAGTTAGTTAAGGACTTAGAAATTGATTTAGTAGGGTTAAATTGAATGTAATGAATAAGTCCCCACAGAGACATGCTAATTGAATAATTCTTCTGGTGCAAGTGATGGGAAGCAAACAAGAGCAAGGTCCTTGGGTCATTTTGGTGAATGATGGCCAAAGGGATATAATGCAAACTGAAGGAAATCTGTTCAAATGAATTATTTAATGCATGTCTGTATAGTATACAAATAAGTGGTGTTGCTGGCAATGAGAAATAGCAGCAAATGAGTTATATCGATTGGACGAAAGCATTTTTAGCTGCTTTCCAATTCATCTTCCTGCTAGTACATCCTTTTGGAGTTTTCTCTGCTTTTATAGTACAAAGTACTGTTCTGTGTATGATGTCTTACACTAGTACTTTGGGAAGTCTCTACCAAAGATGACAATGATGTGGCAGAACTTCTGCTTTGTGAAGTTTTGTATTTTCATCTATTTTTAGTATAAATGATTTGACTGCAGTGTAGTTGTGTTATATTATAAGTGGTTTGTTTTGTTCATAATTCATAAGTTATCAAAAATATTTTGCTTGGAACTTCGTTTGTGTGTATAGCAGAATATAATTGCTTTTGAGCCTATCGGACAATTGAAATCTTATATCATAAAGATCATGCTCTTGACTAGATTTTCTTTTTCTCAAAAAGTAAATAGAATGTGATCTGCACAATTTAGATAAGAAAAATAGTGGGAAGTTCATTGTCTTTATTAGATTAGTGACCGATAACATCATATGTGGGTTAAACATGAAAAGGGAAAAAGATACTTCATAAACCAAGTTCATATTTTTAAGATTTAAGGATCAATGACTATCTAATAGTTTTGATTAAATTTCTCTTGATGCTTAATGTTTAAATTTTTTAATATTTCCTTTCCCAAATTTGGCTCTGGATGTTTTGCTTTGGTTGCTGATATTGAGTGGAACTGAGAAAATAAATTGATCTTATCGTTTTGGGACCTGTGTTTTGTATAACCCTTTCAAATAATATCTTTAAAACTCTGTTCATTAAATTTTTGAATATCGTTGTGTTTTGTATAACCGTTTCTAAGATCGTTCAAATTTATTTGAAGATCTGGAAGGAGATTTGTAATACTGGGGCTTGCTTTTGGGTTTTGCACTAGTTTGAGAATATTGAATTTGAAGTAAGGAATGCACATATAACATGGTTTGTTCTTCTGTTTTAAAACTTTTTGGTGGAAGAATCTGTGCGAGGGAATAAACTCCATCAATTGTTTTGTTAACAAAATTGCTTATATTATTGTTTTCTTTCTACTTTATTTTTATATGTACATGTTTTTGATATCTGTGCTAAACTGTTGACATGATTCAACTCCAAATTGCAATGAACATTACACTGACAGAATCGACAATCTTTCAGGAACCGGGGATAAAACCAGTTTGGAATACATTTGCTAGCAGTCTCAGTGGAATATGGAAGGGTGTAGGTGCGGTGTTCTCTCCCATCACAGCTGAAATGGAACCAATGGAAATAGGTAGCAAGAATGAAAATCTATATGATTGCTTTACTCTTTCCCGTATAGAGGCTGTGCCATCAGTTTCTGGTGAACCAACATCTCAGATCCAGAGAAAGATTAACTGGGTAACTTTGAACCCTTACGGCGAAATACCACAGCATACTGAAGGCGGCAATGTAACGAAAGACAGAAAGCACAAACCCAGCGAGAATGTAATAAATCACGCTTTGCCTACATTTGAATCCTTTGACTTTGAAAGGAGTGATGTGATGGAAGAAGATGTCATGGGCTGTGAACCGGGTCTTGTTTACTTTGAAGTAAGATCTTTTCATACTAGTATAAATTTATTCATGGAAAGTGTGTTATTATGTATGAGGATAAGTTATAACCTTTTTGAAGAGTGCATCCACCATTAGATTCAAGTACAAATTCACCATTTGACTTTTGAATCCAAAAATGAACTCTATAGTCTATAGAGCTATCTAAAGAGGAAAGTCAAAAGCTAGATAGAAAATCACACAAGAAGTTTTCCAAAGATAGGTTCATCAAGTGATGTTGATAGGAACCAAGAAAACATAACAATGTCAAAGACTCACTGAAATCACTCCCCTTTTACTGAGGTTAAGGTGATAGCATCAGAGGGAGATCTTCTACTAATATTAAGAATGTAAGAGTATGTAGGAAAATTTTTACAAGAACAATTTAAAACATTCACAGAAGAAGAAAAAAAAAAGGGAGACATTGTCTACACTTGTTGAAATTCAAGTGTGAATTGAAGTCTCATATTAGATAGAAAAGAAAAAGTTGAATAACATAGTGAAAAAGACCCACAAATCTAATACTTTAAGGTTGTGGTTGAAAGTAGTATCATATTTCTTTATACGATTGTCTTATAGTTTTATTTGTGAATATCTCCCTAGGTGTTGCCCTAACTGAATCTTCTCTAAACTTCCATGTGGGAAGGGTGTCACTTTTTTGCCATAATTCCTCACATGTGGGTCCTTTGCTATAGCTAGATAACTTGGACTGCATTTGTAGTAACTTTTGTGAACAACTTTTCTTTGTTGCATTAAAGTTTCAAATGAAATCAAAGATGTTAAATTAGATGACAAATAATTGGTTTGGTCTTGCTGAGAAATGTCAACTATTTTGAAACATTTACTGGCATCTGATAGTTTTTTTACGTTCCTCCATTTGTATTTCATTATAGCTATGCTTTTAAATTTCAGGATGGATCTTATTCTCGAGGTCCTGTTAATATTCCAGTGGGTGAACCCGATGATACAAAGTACTACATCTCACCAACTTTCAAGTTTGAACAAGTAAGTTTGGCATGGTTCTTACAGTATATCATATTTATAGATCCTTCCCTGATGTCAGTTACCATTAACACTGATCATGCATTTAACACAGGAGAAGGTAATGTTCAACTAATATTTCACCAGCAAGAGTTATAATTTTTTTTGCCCCAATTTCTACTTTTTCAGTGTTTGGTTAAAGGTTGTCACAAAAGAATCCGAATTGTCCATACCATAGAATTCAATAATGGCGGTTCAGACATACAGATAATGAGAGTTGCTGTGTATGAAGAAGAATGGGTCAGTCCAGCTTCGATCGATGACCAGAGGTACTTGTGCTTTATTTGCATATTGTAGCAGTTTGTGAGTATGAAGCACACACTTCTGTAAAGCTCAAAACACCATGCAACCGAAAAATGTGTAATGAAGCCGAGAAACAGTTAAAATGATGTTTTAGTGCAATATGACATGGATCTCTGGTGTGTTCATGTCCTTAGTTTCTTGTATAAATTAAATTAACTTTTGCATAAATTAAACTTAGCTTTTAGAGAAGTTAAAGTGAGAGTTTCTATAAAAGTTGAAGTAGTAACTTATGCATGAACCTTCATGTTTTATTTTCCTGCAAGTACTCATTGTAAAGTTTATCCAAACAGAGGATAATAGTTCAACATTTTCCTTTGCCTTCAAGAAAGTAACTAATGCCTGCTACATTTGAAACAGTGATATGGAGTTCCACGGAGAGCCATTGTCGCAAAGAAAACGAACCAAGCCATCGGAGCTGACGGGGTCATGGAAAGTCTTTGAGGTCAGTGCGACTCCAGTGTATGGCGAGGAGAGCATGGCTGAAGAAGATAACAGCACCCCTTATGTGTACCTTTGTACAGAGAATCTGAAGAAGAGGAGCCTCCCTGAGAACACCAACTACTTCGGCGAGGAGGAGCGGCTCGACATGCAGGATGTGACCATGCTGTGGCTTCCTGGGGGTGTGACATGCTATGTTGATATCAACAAGGATGGTATTCTTTGTATTGGAGTTGGTTGGTACTCTGATGAAGGGATCAACCTGGTGATGGAGAGAGACTATGGGATTGATGGAAAGCTTAAAGAGGTGAGATGGAAAACAGAGGTAAAGAGAAGGTGGTCTAGTCCTCCTCCCATTGAATAAACTATGAGGATTAGATGCTTGTAAACTTTTGTAGTATGAGAAATACAAAGAAAATTCAATGCTATACCAAATTTGAGTATAATGATGTTCAAAGAGTGGATTGCATGTACATTTTTACCATTACTTGTCATTTTGGTGTATTTTGTTCATAAACATGAGCTTAGCACATTGCAATGGTTTATAGTAGAATTTGGTACTAGACTACAAGATGGTTTTGAAGGTAGATCGAAATATAATGATTCAATAAAAAAATATTAGATGATCCAAGATTGGGATATATAAGTATTGAAATACTAGACTGCAAGATGTTTTTGAAGGTAGATCGAAATATAATTTATTTATTTATTGTATTTTCATTTAATCACGCCCTAGAAGTAATACTAATTTAAGGTATATTAAGAAATGATTTAAGTAATTAAAATGTAAAAAGTTACAGAATTTAGAATTGTGATTAAATTATAGATTTCTAAAAACTGAAAACTAAAATTGTAAAAATATATTATTGTATATGTGAATTAGTGTGCCTAAGATGAGGTGCTTATGGCAAATGAACATGTGTATGAGACAAAGGTTAAAAGTAAAGAGACTACGTGTTTTAAAAATGATTTTGAGAATGGTATTACTTCAGTTCTTAAAAGTCTTTCTAAAACATTTTTTGTAGGGGGTGGGGAAGGGAGGAGAAGGATTCACTGTGTTGCATATAATAAGGTGTGTGAAGATTAGGAAGAGGGGGATATAGGGTATGAAATATTATAGTCTTTTAATATGGCATTGTTAGGAAAGTGGTGATGGAGAATGAAAGTGGAAAACATTGTTTGTGGTAAAAGTTTTTAGAGTACATAAGAATAGGTGTGGGAGATCTTGCTGTGCAGTTTCTTACAAGGTTGTATGGAGATCAGAGAGAATGGATATGGAGGCCTAAGTACAAGAAGGTAGGGAGAAGTGAGATACTTCATTTTGGAGTGATCTTTGGGCTGGAGTGGAACCATTGGCAACTGTTTAGTAGCATGAATGTGGAGTTGGAAGGATGCGTAGGTTGCAAGAGTTAGTATCTCTTGTGGGCCAGATAATATTAACTGAATGAATGAAAACATGTGGAGTTAGGAAGGATCCTACTTTATGGGCATTTACTGTGAAGTTGGCATATCAAATTATGCTCTCACAATTAGATAGACAAGAGGATTTTGTTTATGGATGATTCAGGTGCCTTTCATTTGCTGATATGAAAAGACATGCATTTTAGGGATTTAATCAAATGTGGAAGGAGAAAATAATATACATGGAAGACTGTATTTGTATATGCTCTGATAATACAATATGTAAGATCCCATGGTATCTCAAGGGACTGTTACTAATTAGTAGATGTAATAAAACATGTCTAAAGAATACTGCGGACAAAATAAACGTGGTTTCTGCTTATTAGCAACATCTTATAATCTAAACTTCATTCTTTTACTTTATTACTATTTCTTTAATTTAAAAAATAAAAACAAATTAAAATATTTGAAAATCATGTTTTCGTAAGATTTCTTGTGACACAAGAATTAGTAAAGCAATTTCTTTCTTAAAACTCTAAAACACGTTTTTGGAAGGAAAAAAATTAACTTCTGGCAAGAAACTATCTAGTCCATGTAGTATTTACAAATTAATTTTTAAATACTAACAAACTAAAAATAAGTCTTCAAAGGTTTCTTCTATCTTTCACATTTAAAAATCACTACCAATAAATCCTTTCATAAAAAATAAAAAAATCGTTTAAACCTACTTCGACGATGACAATACTGAAGATAAGACGAAAAAGAAACTTTACAGCAATAAAAGAATAAATACAAAAACATGTCGAAAGTTTTATATTTAAGCAGCTCACACAGCTTGCAAGCTACACTTCGCTAGTTTTCTCTGAAATAGGCATATATACAGCCATGAACAAGTATAAAAACCCTCTTGGGTAAGCCAACTTCACGTAAAAAAAATGGTAACTATGCGTCATCTCAGATTGCTAAAGAAGCTGCAGCCTCTGATCTGATAGATCGATGCATCATCCTTTGCTTCCGCAGAGACTCAGTAACTGAGTCAAAGAATTGATGTCTTAGAACATCGTCAGCACTAAGTCTATTTCTTGGGTTAACAGTCAGACACTTGTCGATCAAGTCAAAAAACGATTTCGGGATCTGCTCAAGAAACTCTGGTCTCTTTGTGTGAGTTTTGCACCAGGCTTCCAATTCCCATGACTGCAAGTATCGCTCATCAAGTAACTCCTGCAATACAATGGATATTAACTAAGGTGACTAATAGTCAATCATAATCGTTTTGCTTCATTTACCATATTAAGTATCCAGTATTTTAGCATTTGCATGCTATAAATGTTTATTTTATTTAACTAAAAATTTATAATAAATAAATACTTTAAAATAGTAATTATATTATAATTAAAATTTGTAATAAACAAAAAACTTAAACATATATAATTTCTAAATTTATGATAAATAATATATATATTGTGATTCAATAACATTTTCAATTATTGATAAATTTAAAAAATATTAAATTCAAGTTAAAACTAAAACTATTAAAAACAAGATTGAAAAAGATAAAAGTTAAGAAGAATTTCTAAAGACTTTTTCGTCAAAAAAAATGCTGATGAAAAACACTCTAATTAGAGAACAAGAGCTGAAATATGTTGGTTAAAATAGCTATTTTAATTTATATATAAAAAGGGATTAACAACTTCTCATTGTAGTAATCTGAATTCAGACCTATTAAACTAAGCATAATATCAAACTTTTACATACAAAAGAGTTAAAACGAAATTAAATTTTTGCAAGAAACCACCATCTTCAAATATTATCATAGAATTAATTAAGGACATTTATTTACGTACAACTTGATTGATGAAGTTTAAACAATAACTACCGAGACAAAGACACTATTTTAAGAATTTAATAGTGTTTGAATGGAATATTTCAAGTATAAATATATTTTAGGATGAAACTCAATAAGAAAATAATAAACATTTTAATTAACTCGAAGTTTATTTAAGATTATTATTTTTCAATCATTGTTTTCATAGTAAGGAATATGAGATGATTACCACAGGAAAAGACACTTCACGGTCATGTAGCTTGGCCACTTCCCAAAACTCTTCACTGCCCCGCAATTTAACAATTTCTTTTATATTCCTGCAACAAAACTCAGTCAGCAAGTAAACACAAACAAATAAAAACATCACGAATGAGTTTGGCAGGTGATTATTACTGTTCTGGGTCGCCAGTGAAAGGAGTCTTCCCGATCACCATGTAGAGTAGAGTGACCCCAGCTGACCAAATATCAATCTTATGTCCCTGATGCTGCGATCTTAACAAAACCTAAAGAAAAGGTAGAAAATTGAATTGAATCTGCTGAAAAACAAATCCATACATAGAATAGCATCTCTAGGCAAACTTAAGATCTCGCGTTGATGTGGTCATCGGTGCAGTGAGGAACCTCAATCTGTCATAGACCAAAACTTTAGGGACTGTTATTTCCACTTTTACGTTGTTTTTACTTTTTAATTATAAAACTATCTTATCATTTTTCAGTATATTTTTTGTTTTCAAAACAATGTACAAAACAGATAAAACGAAAAATAAAGTTTTTGAATGAAAATTTTACAGATTGAACGCGGCATGAAAAATTAAGAGTTTTGTTTAACTTTGAAATGTAAACGAAACCAATAGTCTCATAGGGTGACACGACATTTCAGACTACTTCTCAAGTACACAATTAAATCATTCAAATCATGACCATTCAGACCGTGATTGACAGGAAAGGGTATAATTCGACGTTAAATTCTCGTAATTAAGTTTCTTTAGTCCGCAAGAGACCACAATTTGAATAACAAATGAAATGAAATGGAAAATATGGGTTACTGAGACCTATAGGGCAACCGGGAAACTAGCTTAGTGAACCTGTTGAAACTTATGCTAACTTGGAATACTATTCTAATAAACCGAACATAGGTTAAAGGAAAGAGGGTATCGCATACGAATAGTGATTTCTAATAAACCTGACGCAAATGCTTCCTTAGCAATATAAATTTGTCATCCAATCCAAGTGCTAATTACGTTGCATATTTTCTCGCTTTTAACAAGCATCTGAAATGGCACTCCCTTTGTCAGCAAACGGTATAATTATAGATTGGAATGGAAAAAGAATTCATACCCATGACTATTGTCATAGATACGGAACGGATAGCTTTAATGTATACCCATTAACAAGTACTATTTTAAGTACTTATTTATTAATGATACGAATATATAATTTATTCATCTAAGAGGATATCCACTATCCATTAATAAATTTTATATCGATTTTTTTATATTAAATGCTTAAATAAAATTATTGATAAATAACATTTAACAATTAAATCATTTTTTAGAATTTAATTTTATAGATTTGTATATTTTATTTAAATTTATGGAATTAAAATTATTTTTAAAAATATTTTATTTTATTTAAATTTAAACTCTGCAGTGTAACTTTTTTTATTTTCTTTAAAAGAGTAAATTTATGATGCAATTTAATTTGGAATTAAAAAATTTATTTGGATTAGAAAGACCCACTTTCATCGCTTGTTATAGATAGTATCGGCATTTGGATCATCATAAAATAGAATCTCTAACTTGGTGAAAAAAATGCAAGTCAATGGAATTGAAAGCAAGATCTTACCTCCGGAGCACGGAATCCTTTGGTTCCAACACATGAACCTTCTTTTTTCTGTTTTCCATCTCCTGAAATGCACATCAACAGTTAATATGATAAGGGGAGCAATAGCACGTTTCAAAACGCAGAAGTTGTGAAATTAGAGTCATACCTTTGATTCTCAATAATCCCGCACAATTAGTAGATGAATGCATAGGCATCGGGGTAATATGAAAAATCTTGCCATCTACCCTGCTTGAGGGAGCAGTAACCCTTTTCCTTTGAGAAGAAGGACCTATTGTTGAACTGTTGTTAGCACATTTCATAGTATTCACAAAGCTGATAAGCTCCTTTCTTCCATGGGATGGTAAAGGTTCCCTGAGCCTCTCTGCAGAAGCAGTCTTAGTGCTAGCATCTCTCGCAGAAGTTATACCAGAGCCGTCTGTTCCTTGTGCTCTAAGAAAACTACCACCAGCCTTGTCAGGACAACTTTTAAGAGGGCCAGTATAAGCCTTTTGCTTTACATGCCTATTAAGTTCAGAATAATTCTTATAATCTGCCAAAGTCCTTTTATTGGATGTTAAAGACTTGCTGCGCCCAAGGTTCTTGTCTCGGACCAAAGGGGCAGAGCCAGAAGAGAGAGAAACATGATTGGATGATGCAACCACGCTTGGTTTGGATTTACCTGAAAAGATGGGCAAACTATGAAGGTCATTGACTGTAAAACTTAACTACGAAATATTTGATAAAAATAACATTATATTTACGTGAACTTCTACTTTTAGAAAAAAAAAATATAAACTTTTTTATAAACGAAAGTTAATTCAAGAACAAGTTAAAAATCAAACTTGAGAAAATTTCTATTTATTAGCTTATGTACAAGTTAGTAATAGCTTACAAAAAAACCTTTTAATTCCTTTGAAGTACTTGTATAGAACATTAGCCAAACAAACCTTAAATATAATTCGGGTAGAAGCAAGAAAAATGTTGCTTATGCTAAGAGTATGTCATCTTTAATCCTGAAATTAATTAACGAAGTAACCAAAGAGGCACCTAATCTTATTTTATTAAAATTACAAGTAACATGAGAAAACCAAATGTTCAGCCAGTTTTTCTATTTCTCAAAAGAATAAGCAACGGATAAGTGACAAAAATCTTACTTCCAACGTTGTTCTTCTGCTTTAAATCCTAGAGAGAAAAGAACGAAATTCATCAGTATTAATATTATAAGAATCACAGTCAAAACTCTTGACAAGAAGCAGAAAGAGAAGCAACATACCAGGGCAAGGTTGAAATCAATAAGGTAGCCTTTGCTTAGCTTTCGAGAGAAAAGGAAATTTCCTGGTTTAACGTCTCTGTGAACAACTCCCTACATTTTATAGGATACGAATTTCTCAAAATAATTGTTTTTAGTGTCCTTTTCAAAGTCACATGACATATTGATTGTGCAAGGGGGAAAATACCTCTTTGTGCAAGCAATAGAGGGCCCTGAACATGCAATACCCGTACCATTGAAGCTGGACTATATCAATTTCTTTTTTCAAAACCTACAAATTGAGAAGGGAAAATTATATCCATTAAACATGAATGTAGAGAAGGTTAGAATATTCTAATGAGTCAGTTAAATCAAGGTTGAAAAGGAAACAATCTCTTGCATCTTTTCCAAAAACCTAAAGAAGTAAAACTTAGTTCAATTCATGAGGAATTCCAGAAAACGTCACGATTCTTCTTATGAGAAAATCAGTTTGAAGTTAGGAATGGCTAAAAGGGAAAATAATCTCTTAAATTCTATTGATTGATAAAAAAATCATATGTATGAAACAGAAAGCAGATACTCTTTTCTGATGATGAAATAATAAGTTGTACACAGCCTAAGCACTTACCTCAGGTCTGTCATGCTCAACATGCTCTAAAACAAAGCAGTCGTTGTTGCCATTTTTTAAAGAACCTTCATACCTTATTATGAAGCTTTTACCACTGTCACATGAAAAAAAAATATATATATTAACAATAACAGAATGCATTGAAGCTTAAATATAACAAATATTGCACTATGTCTTAGTCTTACCCAAAACGCTGGAGCATATTCCTTTCAGTAGTTACATGGTTTTTATGAGCATTACTATGAGGACCTGTAAAATCACACGTATATATTGGACAATCGACATCAATTTCTAAAAATCCATTATTACAATCATATAGTAAATTAGTATTAGTAATATCAAAATGATTCCATGCAGGGAAATGGGAAACTAAATGCAAGAGGTAAGAAAAGAATTCTTGAAGAAAAATAAGTAGCTTCACTTTCTATTATTCTTCAAATAAAGGACACTTTACCCATATTCCTTTTTTTAATCATAACACTTATCGCACAGCACAGAATTAAATAAAGGATAGGTGTCATTTACATTTTATTGCAACCCGTTTTCCATCAGTAGTTCTTTGAGCACGGTAAACAGTGCCATAACCGCCTATATAAAAAAAAATTAAGAAATGTCAATGCAATTTTAATATTTCCTTCATCAAGAACGATTTGGAGGGAAAGGAGTTCAAATACCTGAACCTTCTTCTTCCTCTACTGTGAAAGCTTCAAATGATGGATAAGCTTTTTTCTCTACCTGATTCAACAAAATAACCAAAATGAATAGAGTGAACATACTAGGAACCTCTTAATCAAAAGGTCAAAATCATCATAAAAATATCTTCTCAAGCATATGACTTTAAAGGAAGGCTATTTCCAACTACAGCTTTAGTGTAAACAGCTCACCTGCATAGTAGCGGAAATGTTTTCTGCCATGTTCTCTTTATGATTTTGCTTTCTCGTTGTAAGTTTCTGATCAATTTTAGATTGATCAACAATTTTAGGAACGTTACTACATTTATTGCAGGCTAGTGACTCTTTAAGAATTTGTGACTCAGGGTGTAGATCATTCTTCAGTCCTCCCTTTAGTATGCTAGAAGGTTTCAAAAGACGCTTTGGATTTGAAGAGGAATTAGCTATATTATAAGTTATTGTGTTTCTCTCACTCTCCTTTTTTTCCAAATTTATTGCATGGACAGGGGTCTTCTTTTTGTAACCATTAGTCGTCAATTCTTCTCCACAGAGTGCAGCATTGACCATCGGAGTAACATCTTCATTGCCTCTATTCGTGCCAGCATCAATCAGCCCCTTCGTTGAACCACTTTGCATCTCATCATCTTCCTTAAGTTTTCTTGGTAGATTTTTGCAAGCATGACTTTTACTAATACCACCTTCATTCACGTCATGAATACTGTTTAGTTCAGCACAGTCATGTGTAAACGTATCAAAATAATCTATTTTCTTCTCGAATCCAAGGCTTTTATTCACAATGCCGTCTTTGCATTCTGATGGATCTAAGAGAGCACGGTCAACAAACAGACTACCTGCCATGAATCTCTTATTGTCCGCTAGCTTTGGACCGCTGAAGTCTTTGATAATTGATTTACAAACCTCCTCATTAGATATGGTTGGGCTGGCATCACTATTGGCTTCCCTATGTTTAAAATTTGGTATTGGACAACCTGAACACACTTCATTTTTATCAACACGCAAGGGGAATACAAAATTCCCGCTACCTATATTCTGTGATTCAAATTTTATTACAGGGAAATTCCTTCTCACCATAGCCTCTACAGCATCAGCGAAACTCTGCACGCCAAAGAAAAATTCCCAAGGTTGGCACCATATTCAGCATGAAATACAATGATTGCTAAATAAAAGATATATCACACACTAAAAGGCTGATGAAAGTTGCATTTGTTTGAAAGCATTAGATAAACAACAAGGCTTTTCAATGTGGCATTCTTTTATACGTTACTTATTATAACTTATGAAAAAAAAAGGACTAGAACTAATATATGATTCCATTTTTCTTAGCATAAAAAATAATAAAATTTTCTTATTATTAGGAAATTTAATCTTTTAATTTTTTTTCTTAAAAAAAATGAAAGGCAAACAAACTATACACTAAGAAATAGATATGTAGTACTTCATTAATACTAATATATTAATCAATCATAAACATTTATTTCTATAGCTTTATTTTTCACCAGACTCTGATGTACCCTAAATGCAAGAAAATACAAATCATTCTCAATCGAGTAAGTGTCATGTCGAGTATCAAAGCTACGCACTAGGTAATCAAGTTCATTAAAAATATATAATTAAAAATGTCGTCGTGATTCATAATGTACTAAATTATTTTATCATTCAAACAATGTGCTCGTACATACATGCCAGAGATGAAAAGAAAGGAAACTAATTTAATTAAAAATGCTGTCATGTTTGATTGACTATTCAAGAATTAACTACGCATTAAAATTGATTTCGAGTTTAAATAACTGTGTAGCTATTGTATATGATAAAAAAATTACTGAGTTTTATTACTAACTCAATTTTGGAATAAAAACATCTAAACACAAATTACATCACTTCAAAATCATTTCAGCCAAATCAATATTGCAAATCATCACGGAAACACATACCATAATCATAATCAGAATCATCACCAGGTAATCGGTTGTATTTCTATTTTTTTCACCAGATTGTATAATAATGGTCCTAAATACAAGAAAATTAAAATCATTCATAATCAAGCTAATGCCACATATCACAGGCACACACTTCAGTCAATCAAAGTTATGATTACACATGCATATGACCATCAACAAGCAAGACCATTAGTGTGTTTAGATTTGTATTAGAGCATCTAAGTTCTCATTGAAATGCAATCTAACATTATTTTAGTTTAGTGTTCGTTCACATATGATTATATATTCGCGTTGGATCTAAATGTTAGTTTTTGAGTTGAGTGAAGTTTAAACCGAAATCGATTTGCAAACGCTCACGTAAACACACCGAATAATCATAAACACTCCAACCTAAACTGTTGTGTCTCTATTTTTTTCACCTGATTATTATGCCTCCTAAATGTACGAAATAAAACTCATGCATAATCAAGTATCATATATCACATGCACAGAATGTAGTCAATAAGAGTTACGTTCCACCTACATATAACCGTTAACAAGCAAAAACTTAGAGTATTTAGATTCAGTGAAATCATATAGATTATCATTGAAACGCAACCTAAAGGTGTTCGCTAAATCTTTAGCTTAATGTTCACATCATTGGATCCAGTATTGATTTTTGAGTAGAGTGAACTCTTTTCCTTTTTTTTCTCGGATAAAACCTACTTTAAAAATAAAATAAAAATTAAACATAATCCAAGCCCCTTCAAAATTAACTCTAACCAAATCCTCACTCACAAACACAAAAAGGATGAGAAAGGAATACCTGGAACGACATTTCCCGAACTCCATTTCGAATGGCTAATCTCTTACGCTCTATACCATCTACTATCACCAAAATCTCAATCAAATTAAACCAACCACAGAACTACAAAAACAGAAAGTCAGGATCGAAATTAAAAAAAAAATGCACCTTCTACCGAGTCAAAGAGTTTGCGTTTCCTGAAACGGTGTGGTTGCGGTTCGGACACATGGAAAGAGAAGAAGCTTCCAAGGGAAAAGAATGCTTCAACGGATGGCATCACAAGTCCATTGTCGGTGAGGGTGAGCGGTGAACCGGGAAGAGAGCTGACGTGGCAGACGAAGTCCGCCGAGGCAGCGAATAAAAGGCAATGTGCCGCGAGGTGCTGAGGATAGACGGGGTGTCGTATTCGGAGGAGGAGAGCGAGGAGGTGCCATGATTTCTCTTCGAGATTGAATTCGAATTGGAACTCAGCCATGGATCTCGGATCTCTGTCTGCGTTGCAATGTAACAACGTTTAGAGAGAGAAGCGGGAAATGTAGTGAAGGAAAGTGTGGAATTTGATTGAGGAATTTTTTGTTTGGACCAATTTTCCCGCTTCTTTTTGGGATAGATTACAGTGTGGACTATGGGAAATGAGACACACCTGTGACGCAAAATCTTGACCCTCAGATATAATGATATGATAATTAGCAAGTTATAGTAAACTTATAAATAGTGATCATATTTCAGCGAAAACAATCCATATATAACTTAATTTAATAATATAATAATAATTATAAAAAATTAAATTATTATTATTATTATAATATTAAAATTAGTTATTAAAAGATGTTTTATGTATAATTTTTTTATTTAAAAATTAAATATGATCCAAAGGGGAAAATGTAAACAAAAGTTATATTAAAAAATATTTAAATGAATTTATTTAATAATTTTTATTTCCAATTAACTCATGGAATGAATATTTATAATTAAATTAAAACTGTATTTAATTAGGAATAAAAAAATGATTTTTTATAAGATTTAAAATTAATTATCAATTAATTATAATTATTAATAAAGTAACAATGAAAATTTAAAATCTAAAATTAAAATAAAATTATAAAAATAAAATAAAATAATACCATTTTAAAAAGAACTTAAAACATATATAAATCATGAGATAATTATTTTAAAATTTAATGAACTTATTTTATACAATAATTTACTGTAAAAAATTGTGAAAACTATTTATGACATATTATTTATTCGTATAAAACTGTAAAATAGTGACTTTAAAAGTATTATATCAATCAATTTAATTTAATTAATTAATAAAAAATATTGTGATGACAATAGATATCAATATAAAAATGTTTTTCAAATAAATTTTAAAATATTAAATTTATCAATATCATGCTTAATGTTGATTTGCAAATCAACATTTATAATATCTAATATCATTTGAAAATATTTAAATTCTAATTAACTAAGTTATGGAATGTGCAAATATAATTTCTTTAAATAATTAGTTAAAAAATAAATCAATATTAATTTAATAAATACTATTACACAAATTAAAATATAAAAAGGATAAGTAACTTTAAGAAAAATACTCTGTAATAAAGAATGAAAGAATTTGCTGTAATAAAATATTTAAGTATTTTTTTTTGTTTTTTATAGGTTATTTTAAATAAATATGTACACATATTATAAATACAAACTCAAAAAAAAAATTTATTACAAGCTCATTTCATATAATATGTAACTATACTCTAAAAACTACTTTGATAACTTTTGTAATTTTTTTTTCTAATGATTATTATATTTTAATATTAAAAACAAATTAAATAGTATTTTACATCCTTATTTAAGTTTTATATTTAATAATTCTGATAAAATAATTTATATAACATATATTGTCATGATAATAATATTTTTAGTAGACTTTTGATTGTTATTTTTATAATCTATTGATATAGTTTCTTTTTATTTAATTGTTGTTATTTAAAGGTTATAATAATTAATTATGTATGAACAAAATTATAAATAAATTTACTAAAACATATATTATGAGTAAAAATTTTATTGTAATTCTTCAAGTCATAAGGAATATTTATTATTAATATTTGCAAAAAATAAAAAATAAACTCACTAACATTATATAAGGTATTGATAATTTAAATTTTTATAAATATCAATAATTTTATTTTTCTCATTTTTGTTGTAATGTTTTAAAAATTCCATTAATTTTGACAATTTTTTCTGAACTTTTTAACATTTTGAACTAAAATTTTTAAAGAAAGGTAACTAACTTATTCATTTTAGTTCAATCATTATTTACTAGCCACTATTTTAATACATGGTGAGATTACTAACATGTTCATCTTAGTTCGATAACATTTTATAACATAATTAACAAGATCATTTTTAAACACTTAATTACATATAAATTTTTATTATAGATGAGTAGTTAAGTAAGCCTGACTATTTACATTCATAATATTAGGCCTTTTAAGAAGGATATGTTAACTAAAAAAAATATACAAATATTTATATTAAATTGAAGCCATATTTTTTATGTGAATAAATCTGGATAGAACTTTGACCCAAAACAAAATAAAATTAAAAAAAATTGTGAAGATAAAATATTTTTTCATTTAAAAAAAATGTAAAAGCAAGACAAGGAAGTCATCATAAATAAGTCATGCATAAAAATCAATCCATAAAACACTTTAGTACAAGGTTCCACTCTCAAATCTAAAATTCCAATTCACGTGAATACAGAACCAAATCATATTCACGGTTAACTGCTGTAAAGTCACTCTACTAGAACTCCATTAGCAAAAAAGTTTGTAGGCATAACATTGCAAGCACCTTAGATAGGCTTGATCTTGAAGTGAAGTGAAATGAGAGAGAAGACAAAGCACTTCAAATCCTGTAAACAGTAATTATAAATAATTAAAAACTAAACAGAAGATATTAGTTGACCAAATCTGATATTCAGCTGCTTATAATCACAAAAGAAACGTCCTTCATTTGATTTCAACTGGACACATAAACAAGCCCAATGAAAAGTTCAAGCTATGACCAAGATCGGCATTTTCAAAATGATTTATGATGATATATTTCCTCACTCAAAAAATAAAACATATCAGTTATTACTCTACTTGTACTCAGGATAACTTAAAAGCATTCTGGATAGATATAACAAAGAACTGGACCATCAAGAGTTAACTGATGCTCTGATATTATCATCGTGAACTGTTAGAAGGGAGGAAGTATTGTGATAGAAGTCATAATTTTTAGTAGCTTCCATATTAAAATTACACCCAGCCTATATAAGAAACAATCATAGAGCTTAATACCTTTCAACCAGGGGTGTATGGTTTGCAAAATCTTTGTTAATATGATATCATTGTATCCTATGAATTAGGGAATGTACAATTCATTCATATTCTCTGTATTGAGGTTGTACATGAAATGTACATATCAATTAGAGATACTCTTTAATTTGTCTCCTAAGATTTCATACAACAAAAAGTTTATTCAGGTTTCCTCTTAATATACCTAAATGAGTACAACAGCACCCAAACGATCATTGTGTGAGGACTGCATATAAACTAACTTATTGCAATAGAATAAAAAATATTGGATCCAATAACAGTACGGTAGTTTAGTTTCCCTAGATGATTATGGTATCTACCCAAACCTGAATAACACTCTCCTTAATCCAGTAACAACTTGTTTTAATACATAGGGCTGTCAACGGGTTTATATCAACAAATCATTTTCTTCCAATATGTTTGAATCTGTGGTTCACTTTCTGGAATAATGCTTACAATTTGATTCGAATAGACCATGCTCTGAAACTCAAGCATCAAGCACCTATTACTTATGGGTTCCTACAAAAAATTGTTAATGATGCCCAATACGAATCTAGTAAGAAAAAACCTGAAACTCTATCAAGGAAACAACCCATCGTACTACCAGAAACTGAGTTTTGAAGGCAGCTAGACAGACTTATAGTGTGATTGGTTTTCTGTTGGGCTCACTGTCAACACATGCCAAATAAACCTCGAGTCTTACACAAACATAATTGACGAAACAAGTCATCTGTAATTCTACAGCTCATATTCTGGTGATTAAGTCCTTAGATACTTAATTTAGGTGCCTACAGCTGGTAATCAATACCATTTTACTCTTTTCCTACACATGATCTTACTATTCTATTGCCCCGGCTGATGGCTCTAATGTTCATACCAAAGACATTGATCAAGTTTCACACACAGCACTTGTCTTCCAAAGCAGTTTTTCTTCTACCTGGCTATCTTTTAAATTTAATTTCTTACTCAACTAACTCTATCTATTAGTTTAATCGATTTTGGTTCTAATTCCTTTATAATGCAAGCATGCGAAAGAGTCAGATAATTATCACAGGCCATGAAACATGTGGATTTTATTATCTCAAGTCAACACCACCCATGGTCTGCAATGCTACTGAATTTCCTAGTCTTCTTCATAGGCACTTAAGTCACTATTTAATGTAATAGAATCATATATTTAACAATTACCTATTTCTTCCGATCCCTTATTAACTAAGATACACCTATGTCTCTTTCTCAACATCCTCCACATGACCATTCCACCCCACGACAAACAGAGTATCATGGTTGCCTGGCATATTTATTTTTGGTTTACATGCTACATCAAATAACTGTTTCAACCACGTAGTCCACCTTATCAAGTTGTGCTACAATAGAACAAGTATGAACTAAGAAGGCTTAGCAATTTAGTGTTCCTGCTTATTCACTCAAAAGGTAATCCAAATATCATTGCTTCTGGCCATTTATGTGAGAAAATTGCAAGAACGCCTTCCTATGGCTAACAAATTATTATCCATCAAATTGAGCATGCACAATTCAAAACTTTAAATAAATCAATCTTTCAAAAACTCAAAACCGCAATTCACCTGGACAAGGTAGTAAAAGATGCGAAGCCCTTCCGGATCAGCACTACTCTGAACATCCACCAAAGACCCAATCTTCGAGGTCGTAAACGATATGTGCTCATTCCCCATCACAATCTCCAGCTCCTGTCGCCCCACCCGGTCCGGTTCCGGCCAGTTGTTATCATCTTCCTTCATAATCTACACATTACACAAATAAACAAACAAACTAAACGACGAGGAATTCATAAAAGGATAACAAGCACTAAAATGTGAGTTGGTAAATTAGGGTTACCTCGCTTTCGGTGATGATGCGACGGCACTCGCGGAGAACGGCGGGGGTGAGGTAAACCTCCTTGCGAATAATGGTGTCGTTTTTGTAGTTGGAGTTGTTGGCGTAGCGGAGCTTCCCGTCGGGGCGGAACTCGAACTCCAAAAACTCGTGACCGAACTTTCCCTTGTGACCGACGTAGTAGCGGAGGTAGAATTCGTTGTTCTCCTCTTCGCTCCCCATTGAAACCACCGGGAATCGAATCGAAACGAAACGCTCTGAGTTTCGTTCGAGAACAGAAAAATTGTGAGTGTGCGATTCGGAAGGTTCTTTTAAACGAATAAGAGATGAACAAAGTACCTGTGTGGAAGGAGAAGAACTGCAGCGGTTTCTAGGTTTCGTCAACGAATTCAAAACTAAAGATGTGGTTTTGAAATTTTGGTGAGGTTTTGATGTTTTTACTTTTTTGTTAAAATTTGTTTATCTATTATATTATTATTATTATTATTATTATTATAAAAAATATAATAATTATTAATATCATATATATATATATATTATCTTTTAAGAAAAAGGAATAATATTTTGAGAATTTTATATTATTAGTATATTATTAAATAATATTATTATAATAAGTTGTTGAATAAAAATAACTCAACAAAATATTTCTATTTAAAAAATTAAAATTCATTATATACCATTTCTTCTATTGCGTTCAAAAGCAATATATTGAGAGTGAAATCTGAGAAATAGAAGTTAAAAATAAAAAGGTAACAAAATAAAGATGGGATGAAATAAGTAAAAATAATTTTGACTAAAATTTTATAAAGACAATATTTAAAAAAATCATTACATTTTTTTTAAGAGGTTCTCTTTATAGAAATTTAAAATAAATTATATTATTAATCTATAATAATAGATAAGTTTTATATTATTTTGAAAATATTTTCTGCTTTTTTATTAATTTTACTCTTTTTTATTTTTTAAATCTTTTATTTTATTTGATTTTGGTCTAATGGGTCAATAAGTTTTATTGATTAATTGTTCTTCAATTAAACATTATAAATTAAAATTACTTTTCGATATTCTTTTCAGTTTTTCGTTTTTAATAAAAAATAAGACTTTTTTTAGATTTTTTTATCTTTTTCATATTATATTTCTCCGTTGTTTCTAAAACATTATTTTAATTTTTTTATATTATATTTGTGGGCTGTTTCTAATCACCATTTGACTTTAAATATAATCTCATAGATTAAAAAAAATATTAATATATGATAAAGTATAAAGGTTTATTGTTATCTAATAAATTAGAGTTCAACTTGAAAAAAAAAATACTAAAAATTATTAAAAATAAAGTGATACATAAAATTGATTTGAAAAGATATGAGTTATATTTACTTGTATTAAATCAAGTAAAGATATGATTCCAGCCATCCATGATAATAGATAAATGTTTGAGGAGTAAATGATAAAAGAATGTGTAGTTAAAATCGGTTCTACTGGACACTGTGCTATTATAGATGGAGTCGTCGTTATAATACAATGAACTTTTATTCATTTATTCATTATTGTATTTTGAGATACGACGATAGTTATTTATTAATATTTCAATATAGAATAAGATTTATGTTTATTATAACGACTCTAGAAATCGCTATTATAATGATATATTTACAAAGTAGTAAACAAGTAAATAACAACATCTATTTTATATTATATTACTTGTAATTATAATATATATTGAAATTCCAGTTCACTAACTGAACTTCAAAATATAGTAACATAATTTATTTATATATTATACATGTAAAAGTAGTTCACTCGAAGCTATCCCATCGAACTATCCTTCGCTGTCTAGTAGTCACATCACAATCTCTCAACTCCGATCTGCTCCCACATAAAAGTGATCATCGCGATCCCATCCACATGGAAAAATAGGGGTAAGTATTAAATCATTCGATATAATAAAACAGATATAGAAGTAATAATTATATATTATGATCAATTACGAAATTATCAACACACTAAGACACCTTCCGGAAGTATACCCTAACTATGCCCAAACTCAGAGGCTATCATCTGTGGGCACATTGTGATCGGTACCCGCAGTACCATTCTGACCACCCTCCACACAGAGTAGGATTACTGGCGCCCTTCATCACTCATACTGGAGTACCCCTCCGAGCGCGCCACCAGTCATCCCCTATCGACTTCTCACCACCTGATCTCGTAGTCTACCTGACCCGACCAATCAGTGAAGTCTTGGACCTCATTCAGAATCCTCCGACATAATTATTACACTAATGTACTCTGTACTACCCCGGGTACCATTCAAACATAACAAAATTTATTCACATTTGCCCGATTCTGGACCACTTGTCCTCACGGCTCATTCGGGTCAATAAAAATAGTATTTGACTAATTCTGGCACAAATCCTCTGGCTCAGTCTAGCCAATATATAACGTCTCAGGACTGATTCTGGGCATCAGCCCTCAGGCTCAGTCTGATCCACACACGTCACAATACACTACTTTCATTCTCTCTCTTTATATATAAATTTTTCTAAAATCATTTCCGAAACTATTTCCGAAACTATTTCTGAAATCATTTTTGAAATCATTAAATTACTATTTTGCCCTTAATCTTTTCTTAAAATTCCATGTATGTCCCTAAATGACTATTTTACCCTTGGACATTTTTGAAAATTCCTTCCATGTCCCGAAAATGACTATTTTGCCCTTGGACATTTTCAAAAATTCCTTCCATGTCCTGAAAATGACTATTTTACCCTTGAACAATTTCAAAAATTCCATTTATGTCCTTAGGATGTAAAATGACTATTTTGCCCTTGAACATTTTCAAAAATTACATTTATGTCCCTTGGATGAAAAATAACTATTTTACCCTTGATCTTTTTAAAAAATCCCCACCATATCCCTTTCTTCTTCCTTCGCCCGATAATGATTGTCGAATTTTACAGATTTTGGCAGATTTCAAATTACTCGAGTTTTAGACAACCAAACTAGTCCCAAATCGAAATTAAACATGAATTATATCTAATTTAAGTTGAAAGCAACAATTTTACTATATAATTCATCCTTAATTTCAAGAATTTAATTAATATTTAAATCTTTGCAAAATATGAATAGTAATCACTTCCGTACGCCATTTTCAAAATCCAGGTTTCAAATTTCTCGGTTTCAATCACCCAAATTAGTTCCAAATCAAAATTAAACCATAAACATGTTCAATTTAAGTTAAAAACAACAATTTTATTATATAATTCATCCTTAATTTCAAGTATTTCAGAAACTTTCAAACGGTGAACAATTCATCAGAATCAGAAATTCTTCAAAATCAGACATTCAAATAATTCATATCTCTACTCCTATTCCTTATTCAGAGAGTACCCAACAATTCAATTTCATATATTGAATGAATTAAACTTCCCCTTACCTGGTATGATATTTCTACCGAAGCTTTCTCACTTAATTCAAGCTCTCTCCCGTTTCACCATATCCTGCACAAGTAGAGTCTCGTTCCTTGAAATTTAGACAATAGAAGAAGAAGAATGATGAACATGTGATATGGGAGGAAGAATTTCCCGCAGAAACCATTCATCCCCCTTCGAACATATAAAAGAAAAAAAAATTTACTGTGCATGAGGCTTCGTTACGAAGTTTTCTTGCACAGTAAAAAGCATACGTCACATTTATACCGTTCTTGAATCATTCTATTAAATAATATATATTTTACACATATTATAGAAAATAATAAATATGTATAATAGTTATTATCTAATATTAGTTTTATTAAAATCTTATAAAGTCATTATAAATATTTACAAGAATAATTAGTCAATTATCTAAATATTCAACTATTAAGTAATCATCATATGTTTTAACAAAAATTTAGTTATCCTACACTATAAAAATAAATTACAAATATTATAACATAATGGTATATTAATATAATATAATATATTTGTATTCTAATTTTTACTTAAACTAAAATTACGCTAATAATGTATAATAATATATGAGGGGATAATATATATATATATATATATATATATATATATATATATATATATAATGATATATTTATATATTAATATATTTATATTTTGATATATATATATATATATATATATATATATATATTGATATATTTATATATTTATTTATATCTTTATACATTTATATCTTTATATATTTGAAAAAAAAAATAAAAATTTACATATTAAATTTTAAAAATAATATTATATTTTTAAAAATAAATATTAAAAAAAGATTTAAAAATATATAAAAATTATATTTACATGTACAAAATATTAAAGATATATATTTATATCTTTACATATTTATATCTTTATATCTTTATATTTTATATTTTTATATCTTTTCATATATTTATATCTTTATATCTTTATATATTTACATCTTTATATATATATATATATATATATATATATATATATCTTTATATATTTATAAAATCTATAAATATAAATATATTTATATATTTTAATAAATATTTAAATATTGATATATTTACATATTGATATATTTACATATTTATATATTTATATATTTATATATTTATATATTTATATATTTATATATTTATATATTTATATCTTTATATCTTTATATCTTTATATATATATATATATATTTATATCTTTATATATTTATAAAATCTATAGATACAAATATATTTATATATTTAAATATTGATATATTGATATATTTACATTTTTATATATTTATATATTTATATACTAATATACCATTATATTATTTTCATTGTATATAAATTACAAAACTAATAATTTTTAAAAAATTTAATGATAATTTTTTTAACTTATATATTACAAAATATTTTTTAATACTTTAATAAATATAACTTTTTTTAAATATTTTCATTAATTTAAAGTATAACTTTTAATATTTTTTAGTATTTTTTTAAATGTAGATATCTTTAATATTTTGGACATATAAATATAATTTATACATGTTTTTAAACCTTTTTCTAATATTTGTTTTTAAAAATATAATATTATTTTTAAAATTTTATATATTTAATATTTATATATTTATATTAGTATAGTATACAAATAATATATTAGTATAGTATAGTATACAAATTATTAATTTTGTAATTTATATACAATGAAAATAATATAATGGTATATTAGTATAGTATATTTTTATTCCAATTTTTAATTAAACTAAAATTATGCTAATAATGTATAATAATATATGAGGGGATAATAAATTTAATCCAATTACTTTTATAAATATATAAATATAAATCTATAAAATTTTAAAAATGATATTATATTTTTAAAAACAAATATTAGAAAAAGGTTTAAAAACATGTATAAATTATATTTATATGTCTAAAATATTAAAGATATTCACATTTAAAAAAATACTAAAAAATATTAAAAGTTATACTTTAAATTAATGAAAATATTTAAAAAAGTTATATTTATTAAAGTATTAAAAAATATTCTGTAATATATAAGTTAAAAATATTATCATTAAATTTTTTAAAAATTATTAGTTTTGTAATTTATACACAATAAAAATAAATTACAAATATTATAATATAATGATATATTAATATAATATAATATATTTGTATTCTAATTTTTAATCAAACTAAAATTACACTAATAATGTATAATAATAT